ACTCGCTGCACTAAGCCACCCGCACCATGGCCGTCCACTCGCTGCACTAAGCCACCTGCACCATGGCCGTCCACTCGCTGCACTAAGCCACCTGCACCATGGCCGTCCACTCGCTGCACTAAGCCACCTGCACCATGGCCGTCCACTCGCTGCACTAAGCCACCTGCACCATGGCCGTCCACTCGCTGCACTAAGCCACCTGCACCATGGCCGTCCACTCGCTGCACTAAGCCACCTGCACCATGGCCGTCCACTCGCTGCACTAAGCCACCTGCACCATGGCCGTCCACTCGCTGCACTAAGCCACCTGCACCATGGCCGTCCACTCGCTGCACTAAGCCACCTGCACCATGGCCGTCCACTCGCTGCACTAAGCCACCTGCACCATGGCCGTCCACTCGCTGCACTAAGCCACCTGCACCATGGCCGTCCACTCGCTGCACTAAGCCACCTGCACCATGGCCGTCCACTCGCTGCTCAGATGTTTATATACTGTGTGCAAGGTGGTTTTCAGGCCAGTGCTACTCAGTGCGGTACACGACCAGACCAAACTAATGAGCTGGCTGTTACTGGTCTGCTATGAGATTGTACATAAATGAGGAACAAGCACTGGAAACTCTGTAGCAATCTGACATTGACAGTTAATCATGGGCTCATCTCCAGCTCAGGTGTCATTCAACTCCTGCAGTGGGTCCCCTATGGCACAAGCTGTGAATGCGTCCTGCACAGTTGACACACCTCAGTTCATGATGACTGCGAAGAACAAGTAATGGAAGTGGCCCTTCGTCTTGGGGAGCCTGCCCTAAGGAGGGTCGGCACACCTCTGTGAGGGCCAGCAGCACAGGCTTCAGGCTTTGTAGACCATACATGGCATCTATGCCATGTTTTTCTTTTGTTTAAAAAAACCTTTAAAAATATAAAAACCCTGCTTAGCTTGAGGGCCCTACAAAAAGAGGCCATGGGCTAGTGCTGGCTCGCGGGCCATGGCTGCCATCCTTTCAGGGTGATGAGCACAGCTCCTGTGTGGGCAGCGAAAAAGAAACTCCGGGGGGGGGGCATGGGGACACATTTTCAGGTGGTAGACACAGCTAATAACACATTTTCAGCTGGTAGACACAGTTGATAACACTGTGCTATATAACTGAAATTCGCTAACAGAGAACTTAAACGTCCTCACCAAAAAAAAGGTAAATATGTGAGGCGATGGATGTGCCCGTTAGCTAGATGGCGGGATCCCTCACCGTCACTCACCACGATGCACACTTCAGTAGCTCACAACTTTATTTGTCAATTATTCTCAATAAGGAATAACTTAAAAAAAGACAAATTCATCTTAATCATCCTGTTTTTCTTCATCTTAATCACCATCGCCGTCATTGCCGTCATCACTGAGAAGCCGGCTGGCTGAGCCCTCCCTGCGTCCGGGCGCCGGGCGAGGGCTGCGGACCGGCAGAGGGAAGGGCCGTTCTGCCCTCACAGCCTGCGGGCTGGCTGGGTAAGGACTGAGCCACAGACAGGAGAGAAGAGCACACTCCTCAAGGACCAAAGAAGTGGAGAGAGAGTGTGCTGCGAGAGCACCGTTATTTTGTTGTTTTTTTAAAAAAAGGAAGAAACATGGAATGCAGCAAATGTCTGGTCTTTTGTACTAACCAAGGGGGTGAGTAATAACTAACTCAAGGTCACACCCCTGGCCGCGGGCTGAGGCAGGATTCTGTGGTGGGTTTGCCGGGGTCTCAGAGCGAGGGCTCCGTGGCGAGCAGGGGCCCCCTCTGGGAGATGCGGTCAGGCCTGCAGGGACTCAGAACGAACAAACATTTCCACTCCAAGCACATCCCTGCCACAGTGAAGGAGACGTGCTTGAACGATGTACTGAAAACCGGCAAACATGAAGGCACGTGAGCCGTGGGTGGATACAGGCCAGACATCCTGCCGCTCGACAAGACAAAACAGCTGTTTGGAGAAAGACCTAATACTGAGGTTGGGACCTGCTGCTGGACTTGTGTATAGTGCATTATGCCTTCACAAAAAGGATCCTGTGCAGTAGCAGAAAAGAATATCAGAGGCTAATTCTGATTCCCAGATCGCTACCTTAGACATCTCCCCCAAGAGAAAGTAAGCCGACGATACACAGCCTGGTTGCTTTCTGGAAAGGGGGAATGTTCCTGATTAATTCAGATGGTTTTTAATGAGACTATACGCTTAGGAGGGCATCTGATGGCCATTTCAACTTGAATCATAACCAAACCATGCTTCACAGCGGCCAGGAGGGTAGAGGGCACGCTTCAAGCCCTTTGGGATGCCAAGGCCACCTGTGCAATGTTGTGTCCAACAGTGGCCCACAGCCCTGCCTTCAAAGAACTCACAGTCTTGCAGCAGGAGAAAGAACAGAGGTGAGACCCCATAGCAGTTACCACCACCCCTCAGGTCCAGCTTAGGGCAGGCAGCAGCAGGTGTCACTGTCAGCTCAGACAGTGCAGTGCAGGGGACGGGAAGAAGAGTCCCATGTGACAACGGTACTGTCCTTCCAAGGAAATAGTCACGATGGGAAAACGCGGGAAGATCTGCTGAGACTCCTTCTGACTTAAGAGCAGCACATCGGCACCCAGTGTGGAATAAGAACTCTCTGGTAGGCTAGACTAGTGTGGCTCCGACCTTCATGAAGATAGACACCAGCACAGAATACCCCTGCTCCTCTACTGCAAAAAGCCACTGAGACTGCTCCTTAACTAGCAAATACCCTTTTCTTTCACCAAGAACAAAACAAATACAATAGTAGCAGCAATGCCATAACACACGAGCACTTGTTTCTAAATCTATTTTATAAGAATTATTTTTAGCAATAATCACCACCAACCAAAACAAAATATTAACAATAAAGAACCCACCAATCCAACCTGACAACAAACAAACTCCACTCACGCTCACATTATCTCCAAGACATGTGTCATGTGTCATTTGTTCATCACAGTCCTTAAAGAGTGGCGCCCCCAGACCTGAGCAGGCACTGGGCTGCGCAGTGGGCTGAGGTGGAGTGACAGCAGCTTTCTGAGTGTGTCACCCGACAGTGACAATGTACAGGGAACCTAGAGAACAGGGCCCCTGACATGGCCCACAGGAACTGGGAATCTACAGAGCAGGAAGCACCTCCACCAGGGCTGGAAGGGGGGACAGGAGTTCGCTTGCCAGGTGAATGGGAGAGAGAGGCAGAGACTATAACATATACGAAGAGCATTCCGGGCAGAGAAGTCAGCAAGGATGGCAGCATGAGAGCTTCACAGAGCCAGGCCCCTGGAACACCAAGTGCTGGAGAGCGGCCAGAGCACACACCCGAGGGGCCCAACTGAAACAAAGGCTGAGGTCACTGTCATGGGCCCGAATGCCACGCTGTGCGGGTGCGCTCCGGAGAACACGGCGGCAGAGGAGAGCTACCACTGCGAGTGCTCTGGTAGGTCCTTCTGGATCGAGACAAGGAAAGGACGAGCTGGGAGGGGGACCACAGTATCTCCCTCAGGGTCCTGTGCTCAGAGTAACTGGCACAGGGCGGCTCTCTGGCAGGAGACGAGGCTGCACGTCACTGTCTAAATGAGGACAACTCCCATATGATTGATTTTAATTTGTGAAAACAGCTGCTGAGACCCAGGGCCTGAAGAGGCAGCAGCAAAAGCCTCTTCTAACTTTACCTGGGCTACTTGGTAAGTCTCAAGTGTCAGGGTGCGCCTGGGACTAGATGGTAGAGACTGGCATCTCTCCCTTTGGTGAGAACTGGTGACCACATTGTCTCGACAGTAAATCCCACGTCAGCAGGGGCTGCCCTCCCCCAGGACTGACCTCAAATATTGCCTGCTCTCCTCCCCAAGCCCAACCACTTTCTCCCTCTCTAATCACGTCCCCAGACCTGTCCTTATAACACCCAACAAGCCCACTGCTCAAAATATCTGCTCCGACTACCCTGAGGTTCAAATCATAGTCCAGCTGTGTGATGCTGGGCCAATAACCCAGGTTCTCTGAGCCTCAATTTCTCAGGATACTAATAATTATTAATATGAGTGGTTGTGAGGGTTAAATGAAATAAATTAACATACTGCCTGATAAATGCTTACTAGTAGATAATAGGACACATTAACACATAGTAACTACTCATACAAGTGTTCTACCTATATCGACTCAGTCTGTTCTCACAACAACCCAACAAGGCAGGTATTATGAATTTTCCCATTTTACACAGTGAAGTTAAGCGAACTTCCCAAAGTCACACAGCTTGTAAGCGGCAGAGCCAGGATTTGAACACAGGCTGTCCGGCCGCAGAGTCTGGGCTCTGAGGCAATAGGCTATGCTTCTCGATAGTTCCATCTTGCCCTCTGAGCTTGGGCTGGCCTCACTGATTGTGACATATCCTGATCAGGTTGCTAATTTTCATGTTTATATAGCAACCTAGCATGACTCTAAGCTCTGTGAGGGCGAGACTTTTCATCTCTCGCTTCTCTCTGCCTATGCTCTCGGGCCTGTGTAATAAGTAGTATCTACTTCTCTCTTCCACAGATGCTTCTAGTGGTTGGGACTTGCAATTTCAGATGTTTCACACATGTACACAAAACAGTCAATGCAGCAGGCTTAAAGCTATTCTCCTCAGAAAGGCTACTTGCAAGCTTAGCCCTTGGCTGGTCTAGGAACCTGGGCTCGGCTCCCACCACCCCGGCCGATGAGGGTGGCTTGCTGTACGGAACTGCTGTACCAACAGTGTGGCTCATGCTGAGCACGTGCCTTTGTGCTGGAAGTCCGCAGTTTGGTGCAGGCCAGGCAACAGGTGCCTACCTGACCAGCATCCACTAAAATCCCCAAGCAGTGAGTCTCAGCTGGTGGACAATTCACACGAATTGCCACAGTCACATCCTGCTGACTCCCTAGGAGAAGACTATGGGAGCGTGCTCCTGGTTTTCCCTGCACTGGCCTGCCCACCTCTTCCCCTTGCTGCTGGCTCTGCACCCTCCCACGTAATGACTCACAGCCCTGGGCAGGCTGTGTGCTGAACCCTTTAAGTCCTTCCAGCAAATCACCAAGCCTAAGGGTGGTGCTGGGACCCCAACAATAAGAAATCAGAAAATGTCCCCAAACAGTATGTGCTGTTACCTTCTGAAAGAACGCCCTAAAATCTTTCCAACGTGAGAATGACCAAGAGTCAGATCTGGGTCCAGCTCCATGTTCATCAGGATGCAAACCCGGGCCGGCTAAGCAACTGTGAGGACCGTTCCCCGTGCTCTGGAAGCTGGCCCACAGCCCAACAGGGAGGACAGACCGGGGACACACAGGTACCCGGGCAGACACTGGGGTTGGGCCCGGCTGCATCCTGGCTACGTGGCCTCAGGCAGGTCATTACACCTGCTGGGCTTCCGTGTGTTCACCTGCACTAAGCAGGGTTAGTGCTAGAGTGGGGCAAGTGCTCTCTGGAGGGAGGAGCAGGGCACAGGCGCTGCTGGGAAGGCCTGGTGGGGGGCACTGCCCACTGTGCTCAGCTCTTCCCTCAGGAACACGCTTTCAGAGACAGCAGGTTGTGGGGGTCAGAGACCCAGGCAAAACGCCTAAACTGTGCCAACCTCAAGGGTTACTAAGACAACAAAATGGGTAGGGGCACTAATTTTGGATCAAGACCCTAGGCTCAAATCCCATCTCTGCTCCCGCCTGGCGGTGGGACCCTGGGGTGAGTTACCTGACTTCCTGAGCCGCAGCCTCCCCACCAGTCCTGCTTCCCAGGGCTGCTGTGAGCGAATACGGCCTAGCACAGGGCCTGCCACACAGTGCGTGTTCAGTGAGCACCACTCCAGTGCCTATGCAGAAACTTGCCTGGCCTACAGCAAAGCCTGTGAACTTCGCATCATCGTCATCGTCGTCACTACTGTTAACTAGGAACCTGCCAGGGACAGTACTCACAGTCTCTTCTTATCCACCACTCGCTTGACGCGGATGGCTCTCTGCTCCGAGTACAGTTTACAGACTCCTGTGGCAGGGGAAACACCAGAACACAGACCATGTAACACGGCTTCTCGGGCAAAGGATCATCAAATACAATGAGACACTGCGGTCCTCAGCCAGCAAAGCCAGCTGTGCACCTCATCTACTGTGAATGCCACATTGAAGCGGAAATGAAATACTTTTTAGGTAATCTTCAGTGAAGTCCAGAATGGCGCTCCTGTGCTCCTTCACTTGCTGTGAGTGGATCTCCTTGTGGGCTGCAAGAGAAAGGACAGCACTCAGGTTCCCGCACTCAGTTATGCTGAAGAACCTGCCAGCTCCTTAAAACGGTCTCTTTACTGAAAGTATTTATTTTTCTTTTAATATATTTTTATTGATTTCAGAAAGAGGAAGGGATGGGGGAGAGAGAGGGAAACATCAACGATGAGAGAGTCATTGACTGGCTGCCTCCTACATGCCCCCTTCTGGGGATCGTGCCCAAAGCCCAGGCATATGCGCTGACCAGGAATTGAACCTCCATCTTCTGGATCATAAGTCGATGCTCAACTGCTGAGCTATGCCGGCCAGGCTGAAAGTATTTTAAAATCCAACTATAAACAAGTGCCCAGTCAAGTGACTGCATTTTTAAGAGTAAGAGTATCAGGCTTTGTGATAGAGAGAAACCTGTAGAAAAACTGCAGTCACAGAGCAGACGGTTTTGCAGGATGTAAGGGTGGAACATGACGCGCCCACCTGAGAGCTGACCCATCTGTACTAATAGCATCCAAGGCTCAAGCTGGCCTTCAAGTACACGTTTAGATCACACTCGGACCACATGCTCTTGCTGTCTGAGTGGTGCTGTCAGCCTGGGATGCCAAGTCCTCTCCCCTCGGCCACTAAATCCCAGGCCCCATAGACATCGAGTCAACCTCCCTGGATGCCTAGCCTCAGGATGCCTCTCTCCTGCAAACTCACATCTTCAAGCCTGAGCCATTTACTCTGGTAGGACGGCCCCCATGTATTGAGAGGTGAGCTCCTGCTGTGTGTGAGTGGTATTTTACATATATAACAACTAGTAATGCAAACAATCAAAGGCAACTATGATTATGCACATGAGGAAGCACACGCATACACACACACACACTCATCTTCTCTGACCCTGGCCCCTTAGTGAATTTTTAGTTCCATTTGGAGAGGTCCTTTCCACCTCCCTCCTCCCATTTATTCAACTTGAATTATGGCCTTTTCATTACTTCTATAGGCTTAGGTTAAAACAAGGACCAGGTAAGAAGGATTTAAAGCTTTGAAACCTGAGTCTGAACAGGCACAGAGGGAACTCTACCTGGCAGTGCCATAAGAATCTGAGGAGCTTAAGAGAGTCATGGTTGCCCGTCTGCACCTCTCAGAACCCCTCACCTTGATTTCTCAGCTGCTGAATTGCTTCTGAGCAGGTCCTCATGAATGTCTGAGCGTCCTGGTCTATCTGGTCTCGCTCTGCGTCAGTCATCCTCACATATTCAGACATGATATGGCTAAAAAGAGAGAGAACAGGCATGTGGGGCAAAATTAAAGGGCAGCAGCAAGTGAGCACATATGTAGCCTGATGGGGTGCGAGGGAAGACAAGCTTCACTACTGAAGCGACACCCACGCTGAGACTTGAAGGAGGAAGAGGGACCAGCCAGGCTCAGAGAAGAGAGCGTTCTAGATAGTAGAACCACACTCGGAAGGCGTCAGGTAGGAAAAGCGCCTGCAGAGACCAGACTGGAGCAGCCCAGTGCAGGGAGGGGGAGGTGGGCCTGGGAGGTGTCCAGCAGGCGAGAAGCCTCATTAAGAATGCGGCTTTGAGCACAGGGGCAGCCACTGCAGGCATCCACACAGCACAGGGACAGAGGTGGGTCTGCGTCAGGGCTCTGGGTGCTGCCTGGGAACGGTGTGGACACTACCTGAGGCTCCTCAGAGGGGTGGGAGAGGTTGTCTCAGGCTGTAACTTTTTCCCACATTGACAAGCAGTAAAAGAGCATTTAGAAGCACGGTTCATCTACCCTACTGGTTAGTTACAGCCCCTCAGTCATGAGCCAGTGAAGGTGCTCACGCTGGGTAACGAGCACCTGGAAGCTCCAACACCTGCTCACCTTCCTGAGACCAGGCAGGGGCAGCTTCACTGCCTATGACACCACCCGCCCAGTTCAACATGCCAGGCATTACAGCTGGAACTACAGCCACCAAATACCACGCCGAAGGAACACAGGTAACATTCAGACTCAGGTCATCCCGTTTCCACCCGCTAGCCCCCCTCACTAAGAGTAAACAGAGTTGCTCACCCCCACCCCACCGGTGGCCTTGCTTCCTGCCCCATGCCCTCATCCACATCACTCCCGCCAAGCTGGCCTCCGTGCTGCCCCTTGTTGGCACCCTCTGCCACAGCCTGGCATGCTCCCAGCAGATGTCCCCTTGCTCTTCCCTCGGACCTCTGCTCAGATGGCCTAACCAGGGCCAGCTTCCCTGGCCGCTCTCTGTGCTCATCCCGAGCCCTCGCCGTCCCTGAGTTCCAGCCCTGTGCCAGTTATTGAGCTCTCGTCTCTCAGCTCCACAGCTACCCTGCTACATGCCGCTTTGTGGTCGGGGGCTGGGGTTCTCCAAACCACAATGCTACTAGACACCCAATCCTCCCGCCTTATCTTCTTCATAGTGCTCATCGCTCCCTGAAATTACATACTGATGCCTAACTCCCTCCATGAGGATGCATCCTCATGAGGTAGGGAATTTGTTTCTCCGATACCTAAAATGGGGTCCAGCACATAGTAGGTGTGCTAATATTAGCTGAGCACTTACTATGGACCAGGCACTATTCTTAGTGCCTTTCATGCACTTTACTTATTTAATCCTTGCAATTCATTCGTGCACTCAATTTACCTACACTCCAACCCGTGTCAGGCACTGTGGCAGGAGTTGGAGGTCAAAATTGAATAAGGCTCATTTCTGAACCCCACAGAGTGTACCACACAACAGGGGAGACTGACCCAGAAATTCTGAATTATTGGAGCCTCAGCTCAGTGAAATGGAGAAGTCCTAAAGGTTAACTCAATAAAACTGATCACACATTATATGTTAACCTTTTAAATTAGAAATTAACAAAATTAACAGTATGGTTATCCTATTAGTAACAGCAACAGAAACCAAGAAAGTTTCCCCTCCAAGTGGTACTTTTTTGTTGCCAGGATGTTGCAGAAATGGTGCATCTACCAGAAGTGGAGAAATTATTTTTAAATGAAATCATTCGAGACCCAGCCAGAAGCTACCTAGGTTGCATGCTGTTCTGCTCCAGTAAAATGTCATTATTTAAAAAAATTAAATGGGTCAATAAAGTCTGAGCTCTATATTATGGAAAAAAATTACAGCTTCCTAATTATGTCAAACTAGCACAGCCTTATGGATCTTCAGGCGATATCTCTACACATGTTCTTTCAATTCCACCGTCATACTCCATCCAAAATGCGGCTGGAGCAGGTGAGGCCAGCACAGGGCTGGCAGGAGGGGTAGACAAGAAAGGCCTCAAACAGTCCACGTTCTGGGAGGGAGAGCTTACAGGGGGAAGAGAGGGCGGCCTTGCTCCTCTGGAGAGAATATAGGGCACTGAGGGCAACGCGTCTTCTCCAGTCCCCCAGTCCCCGAGGTTCCCTGTGCATCACTCCCCTAGGAAGCCTCCCAGCCTCCCTCCTTCCCTCAGCCTCCTGCCTCCCAGCCCTCCCACCCGAGGGGGCAGGGGTTCCCTGACAGCCTGGCAGAGGAACTGGGCAGGAATGTGGACACACGTCTAGACACAGCTCCTCTCCCTCTGGGACCAGCCTGCGCAGAACAGCAGAGGGTCTGTTCCTCTCTCGCTCACGTATTATAGAGACCTGCCCTGCTGTCTGTGCTCCAGGAACTGACTGTTCAGTGGTACCAACAACCAAGTGAGTATGTTTAACTCTGGAGCTGCATTAAGGCCACCTGCCTGCAGACCCAAGCTCTGCTCGCCACCCCAGATTTCACTAGCGATAAAACTGACAACACATCCATCTCCATCACCGCTGACCTGCCTCCTGCGTCCCACCTCTCTCTCCTTCCCTCCCTCCCACCTCTCTGGTAGGAAACAGGTGCTTTCTTTTTAAATGTCCACCCCCAAATGCATCACAGGTCAAACAGGTTCCAAATCAACTACCACTCACCGAGGGGCTTCCATGTGCCAAGAACTCTCATTTAGTCCTCGTAAGAGCACTGTCCCCATTTCACAGAGACGTGGCCAGCCCGAGGCCGTGGAGCAAGCTGCATGTGCCTACACGATTAACACTCTAACACTTGCGGAGCTCACGCTGGCTCCCAGGTGTGCCCAGCCCCACAATCCATGCTCTTCCAAAAGGACATCAGTTGGCAGTGACAGGCTGCGACCAGGAAAAATATGAAGGCTTCACCCAGCTGGAGGCCTTTTCAAGGCAAAGGGACATTAACAATGGATTCCGCGAAGAGCTGGAAACTGACGGTTTATACCAGTGTGGTCATGTTTTCCAAAATAGCTGTAGCTTCCATTTTTATGGACGATGGAATTAGTACTTGATACACAAACACACCTTTAGAAATGAAGTGTACACTGCCATCTAGTGTTGACCAACCAACGATTTGAACCAAGAACTTAACAAATAAGGTCTTCTTGGTACTATGCATTAGGATAATTATTTTAGTTTATTTTAAAATTATACAAATAAAATACACTTAAATGTTAAGTCGCCTATGTTGTTTCAGTAGATAAAGCAGCAGGGGTTATTTAAAATTCACCTGAGGTGTTGTTATTTTCTCTGTTAAAGTTTATACAAAACATTTTCATTTGTATGTAGGGCGTCCCCCAAAATGCATACACACATTTGAATAATTACAAAGGCAGAGTTTATTAAAATGCATTTAATTTTCAAAATTGAGCTATCAGCTGTTAAAGTGTGTATATATTTTTTTGGGACACCTTGTATATTGACAAGGTTTTAAAAACCCAGAGGGTTTCCTTTCTTTCTCCAGCTTTGTGAGCAGAGGGGTCTGGAGGGTGAATACCCTTGTTTCATGGAAATGAAGTCCTCTCAAGATGTTCCCGATGACATAATCTCCTAGGTCCAATCCAACTTCCCATGAACCCACCTAACACATGTGACTTTGCCCTGTGCACATGGAGGGTGCACAAGGAGACTGGATATGCACGCAGCACTCCCGTCTGCAGAGAGTGGCAATCTGTTCCAGAAACCACCTCGAAGCCTTGGTTGAAATGTTTTCTCTTTTTAAAAATCAACCAAAACCCTTGCTGGAGGCAAACGTTCATCTCTCCAGTGGCATTTTTACATGGCTGGCATCATCCTTCGTCTGTTTATACATAGTTACTGAGTGAGATGTTCTGTCCCACTCTCCTCTGTGTTCACAACAGCATGGTGCATACAGAGACGCCAGTACCTGGGAGCATCAGGACAAGAGAAGTGGCTGTGGGAGATAGGGACTCGGAGGACGTGGGGCTCTGGCAGGGCCCACGCTGCTTTGGGAGTCCCTGTGCTCTGTAGGCACCACTGCCAAATTGATCTTCCCTGTTATGCCTCTGAGTTATCAAGAAAAAGGTGAGAATATAGGCATGGAAAAGGCCAGCAAAGCATGGCAGAAAACAGGCACTTACCTATAAGCATTAATATAGTCTTTCCTGTGCTCCAGAAGAAAGTCTCTCAGTTTGCCAATGTGTGAAATCTAAAATTAAAAGAAAAAACTAGTTTATATAGAGAGATGGATGTTACAATCACATGTAATAAACTTTAAATGAACAGAGAATGGAATGAAAGATTTTGAAACTATAAAATGGACAACTTCGGTTTTAGACTCTCGTATAACCGCCCACGTTCCTAGCCTTGGTGTCTTTTTAATGGTCCTTTCTTCCTCGAATTGCTATGATCTATGACATTATGAAGAAATGGTCTCTAAGGAACTTCAAGATTATGTGGAATAATGCATGTCTAGTATCTACACAGCATGTGACCAGTAAAGGCCAATTCCCCTTTTTATGTGTCTTAATCTTAAACTGTACAGACAAGTGTGCTAGGGGATGGACCCCAAGGCTGGAGCTCTTACATTTGTTAAAAGGGCCCATGCTGAGCAGCAGTTACGAGATTCAGGGCCATGGTTCATCCCTGCACAGCCAATCCCGGTCTTCCCTATGGCCCACGTCCATGATGAACACAGAGAACACAAGAGTACAGAGGATTCCATTTGTGACGGCTGGTTTCCAGCATCATAAAAACCTAAAGGACCTACCACATGTCAAGCGCTGTGCAAGAAGCTATGAATTAAAAACAAAGTAAAACAAGGTAGGAAAAAACCAAGGACTCCGGTGAACATGGGTGAGAGTGTTTCCAGGAGAGAGTGGTTAGCCAGGCCGGTGGCCAGCTTGGTCCTCCAACCCCTGCTCAACCAGCTTCCTCTTAATGTCTCTAGACTGATTCTGGACACACCCAGCGCAGCCTGGAGGGTCTGCTCAACTTCATCTCTTCCATGAAGGTTCTGTCAAGGCCCACAGGCTGGTTTTGCTCTGCTCTGCACTTGGGAACATTCTGCACCCCCACCCCCCAACCTGGCGCTCACTCCCTTATACCTGGCCATCCTCTGCCTCAACTTCTACATGTGAGCGTGTTAGGGGATCATGAGCCATGCAGGGGAGGCTGCCCAGCTTCCCAAGCGGGTCTGAACACCGCATGCAGCACAGGAAGGGGTAAGTATCTGTGGAGTGAGTATATGTCTGAGTACAAAAATGGTGCTTATCACAAAGTAAACATCCAGCAGTTGTGTGGAGCTCAATCAGTAGGGGTTTAGCTAAATTTCCTACAGAGTGGGCTAATCATAAATGCAGCTCAGAGACGTGCTCTCGGGCATTTTCAGAGCAAAAATCAAAGAACAAGCTAAGTGTTGCTCAATCCTCACTTACTTACCAGATACCAGGGGCTGAGCCTGCCCAGGGGCCTGGCTGCCAGGGGTCTGTGCTCACAGCCCATGCCTCGTCCCAGCAGCTGTGGGTGGACCCAACCTCACTGCTCTCGCTCAGCACTCTGGGAAGATGAGCCTCACAGGAGCTACAGTAAGTGAATGGCAGAGCCCGCACTCACACTCGGGGCTGCCAGAGTTCACAGTCGGCATGTTTCCCAGCCACCGCAGCTGCCTTCCTCATATCCCCGGTCCTCTTTTCCACTTAAACTGCATTATAAAACCTGAGTTTTAAGTCTGGTGGGAAAAACATTTAAGAGATGTGCAAACAAGGTGTTCACTGCATCCCATATAAATTTGATCAAATTACTCCCCTATTTTAAAACTTTCAGTGGTTTCCATCCCCCTACCTAGCCCCTCCCTGCCCACGAGGGGCCAGGTAAGCAATATAAACGAGTAAAGCAAGGGAAGTGGATGGGTGAGGACATCTGAGGTTGGTGAGCACTGGTTTTAAAATACACTGCAGTTAAAGGAAGCGGCTCTGCTGACTGACTGGCCAAAGGGCAGCCAATGTGCAACCACTGGGCCTAACTAACGGCGTCAAGTCCAAACTCCGAATACTGCACGGAAGGCCCTTCGCAATTCAGCTGTATGAGTCCCTGTGACCTCAGTCCCTACCATACCCCAGGCCCCCAGACTCCCAGCCCAAGGCTTCCCAATACGCACACTCCCGTGGTTCTCCCTTCCCTGGAGAGCCCAACCCACCTTCTCTCCATGCAAACTCCTCCTCCGAGGCCCTCTTTCCCTTCCTACACCCCCTCTGCACGCCAGGCACAGCCAGACCTCATTCACACAACCTATGGGCATCTGTGTCAGCACCTGTCCCTCCGTGGTGACATGGCTAGTGATGGGCCAACCTCCCATCACCAGACTGCAAGCTCCTGAGGGTAAAGAGCCTTCTCTCTCTCCTCAGGGCCTGTCAGGCGCAGCTCCTGGTGCAAACCAGAGACTCAGAATCTTTTAACAAATATGGAATAAAGAGTGAGGTGCTGCATAATCCCAAAAGGATTATACATTATACCTACTGTGGCAGGCAGAACAATGCCACCTCCCTCCCCAAAGATCCCCAAGTCCTAGTCCTTGCAACCTGGGAATATATTAGGTCACATGGCAAAGAGGAATCAACCTGGCAGACGGGATACGGCTGCTCATCAGGTGACCTTAAAGAGGGAGATGATCCTGGACTGTGCAGGGAGGTGGCCCACGTCATCCCCAGGTCCCTACACGTGGAAGAGAGCGGCAGGAGGGAAGGAGGGAGTCAGAGGGATACAATGGGAGGAGGGCTCCATCCAACACTGCTGGCTTTGAGGACACAGGAAGGGAGCCAAGGAGTGAGGGCAGCCTCTACAAACAGGAAAAGGCCAGGAAATGGATTCCCCTCCAGAGCCTCCCTGGAAGGAACACAGTCCGGCCTGCACCGTGATTTCAGCCTCGGAAATCCCATTTTGGACTTCTGACCTAAGAACTGTAAGATTGTAAATGTGTGTTGTTTCAAGCCACTGGGTGTGGTAATGCGTTATAGCAGCAATGAAACACTAATACACCCTGTCTTAGTCAGGCTGGGCTGCTGTAACAAAATACTATAGGCTAGGTGGCTGTTACTCCTGCTTTGGGGGCTGGAAGGCAGATCTGGTGTCTGGCGATGGCCTTCCTCCTGGTTTCCACACGCTGCCTTCTTGCTGAACCCTCCCGTGGTGAAGAGAGGGATCCCCTCTCTCATGTCTCTTCTTAAAGGGCACCAATCCCATTTGTGGGGCTCAACCCTCACAACCTAATCATCCAAAGGCCCCGCTCCAAATACCATCACACTGGGGGTTCGGACTTCAACATGAATTTTGAGGGGCACACACATTCAGTCCAAAGCACACCTACTTAGGGCCTCAATATCCAAAACAGGTTTTTTAGGAGCCAAAGAGTTTTCCATTAAAAGTTTTAAAAGGTCCAAGGAAAGTTTTAAAAGGACTCTAGTACATAGGCTAGGTCCTGCTGCCACCGCTCACCACCACACCCCCATCCTCAGCTAGTTCTAGTCTACCAGGCGGAACAGTACAGGGGGGTGCCAGGAGCAAGGAGGCCCCAGGGCAGCTCAGAAACATAATTACCAGAGGTTTCACTTAGAGTGTACAAATGTGATCCCAATTTCTTATGCTCTGTAACAACAAATTTTTATAAAATGAATGTATTAGAACGGAGTTAGCTTATTCAGGATTAAATGGAGTTCTTGGTAAGTTAAGAGGTGTTAAGTGATTACTGACTCGACAATGTCATCAGTGTAATTTAACATGAGCAGTGTATAAAGTATTTCACGTGCCAAGACTGAAAAGAAATAAATGAGCACTAAGATTTCTGTAGGAATTGACAAGGCTGAAATTGCGGCAGCTTCCTAAAATGAACACCCACAAAAATCACAACAGATCAATAACAAAAAATATTTCAACAGGTCTCTGATTTACCTAAATAGACAACGTAAGCCCCCAAGTAGCATCACAGGATAGGTTATCTTTATAAAGAATGAGTTGACAGTTTAGTTATGTGACTACCACTGTCTCTGTGGAAGTCCTGGCCAAGCTCTGATCTGTTTACTGTTGTGCTTAAGCCCTATTTTTGAGAAGAAACTGTCAAAGACGGCATATTATACTTCACACAATTCTGATACGCCCCCAACATTTTCCAGGTTTCAGAGGGGCTGCAGAGCTGTGTGCTTTGGGTTTTGAACATTTCCACACACAGTGCTAACTTTGAAGAGTGCTCATGTTCCTCCTACGTGTACCCAAAGAGAATGCCTCTTACTTTTAGAAGGACCAAGGCATCATTCCAGTGTCAAGTTTGACAAGACAATCAGAGCAAAATGAAAGTACATTTGCCCCATACAAATCTAAACCTAGTGTCAGTTTCTTTGTCTGGATATCATTGAGTGACATGGGGAGTCGGGTAGGGAGGGGTTCCTAGGAGGAAGGAAGGGGTCACTGGGAGTGTGGAAGGTGGTAAGATGCAAGGGCTAGTCAGGGAGTGCTCTGGGGGCTGAGCCGGGAGGGGCGTTTCACAGGCCTGGGCAGATGAGGGGCACCCCGATCTCAGCTCTATGCCTGTGACTGCTCTTTCCCTGGCTGGAACAGCCTTCCCTTCTTTATGCCAGCCCCATGCCACCCAAAGAAACCCTGTACATCCTTCCAGGCTCTGCTTAAATGCCACCTCCTCCATGAAGCCTTCCCTCTCATCTCCCTTAGTATTTTATAGATACTTGCCAGCACTTCCCACGTCCTGTTAGAAATATCTGTCTGCAGCCCCCGCTAGACTTTGATTCAGTTCTCTGAGGTCAGGGCCGCTGTGCCACTAAATGTTGGAAGGAGAAAGGAGGGTGGGGGGCACTGAAAAAGGCTTCAAGGTCTGACTACCCAACTCACAAGCTGAATGGGAAGGTACCACGGCCATCACGGGGTTGCGCCCAGATAACTGTGAACACACAAACGAAGAGGAACACGCTGGCTGTGACACCCTGGAAGTCGGAAGGCACAGCCTCGCAGGGAAAGCCCGCTGGGGACGGGTGCTGGCGAGCTCCCGAGGATCTCTCTCCCAGGGCCGAGCCCTCCCGTGGGAGCCGCGCCTCAGGGGGCGGCGGTTCTGCCCACACCGCCACCCGCACTGGACATGTCTAGCAGAGGGATGCCGGTCGGGGGAGACGGCCGGACCCTTCCCTGCTCACACACACCCCGGTTCAAGGCGAGCCCTGGACTCGGCGAGGAAGCAGGGGGAGGTGGCAGGATTTACTGTCTCCTCACGGTCACCTTCAGTGGGTCCCCTCATCTAACTCTGACAACAACCCTGTGGAAATAGACGCTTTTCTCGGTGAAAAGGAACCAAAGCCCCGAGACGCAGAGTCACCGACAGAGCGGACCAGGAGCCCTCAGGACGCGGGGCTCCAGGGCCCCTCAACACGGCCACACGAACAGACACGGCGTCCAGGCTCCCCTGACGTCCCAGCCACTTTAATGCCTGCCGCGCGTCATCACTGCTGTGAAACCTCCCGCTTAGCAGCGAATGGCAGCAAGTAATACAATGAATTTTCATTCAGATATTATAATAGTATTATGATGATGATTACGGTTTTACTGTTTTTGTTTTTAAAATCCTTATCTTTTAAGGATATATACTGAAAAATGTACAAATAAAATGCTATCCCTTGGATTTGCTTCAAAATAATACGGGGGGAGAAGGGGGAGAGGTGAAGCAGGACAGCCCTGTGCTCACCACTGTTGAAGACGGGCACATGCGTACATGGCGGCCCCACCCACTGTCTGCTGTCATATATATTTTAAGTTTTACTTGATAGAATATTTTTAAAACTCTCCCACCTTAGCACTTTCTTCTCGTAACATTTTTAGTCATTTTGAAGTACAGATTTTCTGTTGCCAAAACAGCAGTAACCCACACCTGAACCAGCAGCTCTACCCACCCACAGTCTCTGGCTACTTCATTTCTATGTCCTCGGATTCTTTACGAGAAGTTCCATTTAACAGAATCAGTGCCACTTGACAAACCAACACCACCTTCTCTGAGAGTTTGCTATGAACCAGACAGCATCCCAAGAGCTCTGCATGCATCAGCTCATCTGATTCTTCTACAGGTCACATTATCGCGCCCATTTTACAGATGAGAAAGTGAGGCAAAGCGAGAAGGGGTCATCTGTTCAGGGACGCAGGGGTGAAGCCTGGATGGAGCCCAGGCTTGCTCAGTGTCAGGCACACATGTAAGCACAGATTCTTGGGAGTCACAACTGTACTTTCCCAGCACAGTGGTCACAAGAGGAAGAGTGGGGAAAGGGAAGAGCAGCGAGTGAGCAACATCCAGCTGTTCTCCTCTTGCATCTGGATTCACAGTGCACTATACCCGGGATTTTCCCAACGGGCTGCTGCATAAACTGCTTGACACTCACTCTGTCAGTTTCTCCCCATAACCACCGATGAATTGACATCACCCCCATTCCCATGTAATAAGCATGGAAGCTGAGGCCCGTGCAAGGCCACAAAGCTGGTGGGGTGGAACTGGGATGGATCACAGGCCTATGATGCAAAGGCCAAGTGACTTGCTCTATGTGATGCCATCAGAAGACTAATACAACTACTAATAATTAGCTTAAGTTTGAGGTTTTTCTTCAGAGAAGTCTGAGCAGGGCTTCAGGGGAGAACATGCATATGTGTTGGTTTAAAATGTGTTTAACTGCAGTGGACACAGAAAGAACTGTGGGAAAGGCTTCCTGAGTGCTCCACACGTGCTCATGTCGAAGTCCCCCATGTGGCACAGTGAACCGTGCACACACCTAGAGAACCCCGCCCTCCAGCTCAGGGTGGGGCATGGGCAGAGCAGGATCTGGGCAAAAGGCGCCGTGTGGGGCTTGTGCGGAGCAGGGCAGACAAGGGGGTGCTGGTAAGAACCTGGGGAGCTGGCTGAGGTTCTTTGGCTCTAATCTCCGTTTTGCCACCTTCTGCTGAAGGGAACCCCAGTTCCACATCCTCAGGCTTCATGTGGAGGGACTTCAGCTGATGGACATTCCTGGGCTCTCCCAACCCTTCTCACTCTTCTCAGAAGGCAGAGAAACTTCTTGGGTTTATAATGGAGAAGGGTGGGCATGCTCGGCAGCCAGCCAGCAGAAAGGGTCCCTTCACCCATGTTCCACCCACAGTTGGCCACAAATCTAAAGCCAGGTTCTCCACTTGTCTTTTTGTGTTCTGACTCCTATATTTCTCTTTCAGGTGGTTCCAAAATTGGGCTGGGAAGAAAGGGGTGTTTTTATAAGCACCCCTAATCTCTTAAGCTTTGCCAACTGAAATTTTGAGCAAGTTGCTTAATATCCCTTAGCTTCATTACAAAGAGAGGGCTGTAAAAACAGTAGTAGCACAAATTAAAAGGCAACTTTTATTAAGTGGGTACTATGTGGCGGGCACCAAGCTCAACGCTCCACATCCATGACCTCATTTACTTCCGGAAACAATCGTATGAGATGGAGTCCATTACGATCCCATTTCACATATGGGAAGACACCAAGGTAACACAGTTCATATAAACGGTTCAAAACAAATGGGAGACAAGTCTACCCACGAAGCTGCCCCACTGCCCTGCCTGAGCTTGGCAGTTCTCTGAGGGCTGCTCTACCAGGAGTGCAGACAGCACCCTCTGAGATCAGAAGTCTCCGTGCGGAGGTGATCTGCTCAGGTGAAAGGCCTGTCTACAGCCATGGGCCAGCACAGAGCTAACAGCCACAGCCACACCCGGGGTCAGCCAGCAGCTGCTGCCAACCAACCTGTTTATTTAAACTCCATTCTAAAGCTACAGCTATTCCTCTGACTCACCCTTTCCTTCTCTGAACGTAAACTGAGTTCACTATTAAGTGGCCGTATTTTAGTAAGGCAATTCCCAAATCATCAAGACGCTGAAATTCTCCACACAACCCACCTACCATAAAAGCAAGCTGAGTAGAGAACAGCAGCAGCGTGGCCCCCTACGTGGATGTATTTGAGGGGAAAGACTCTTGCATTACCTGTCCTCACACATAAAGGCTTTACAAGGAGAGAACAAACAAAAACAAAACATCCCAACCTGTGCACCTGTGAGGTCTGGTCCCACAGGCGAGTCTGTGCTGTTGACAGGGGCTACTGACAGGGGTAGTTTTCCACCAGCACACTGTCGAGG